ACTATATATAAGTTAAGACTATTTACCTTGAAGCAATCTGAGCCTGTTATGTATTTACATAACCATATAAAATTAATTGACACGCACCTGTTAGAATAAAAGGATAATGTAACTGTTCACCAGAAAGCATTTGCAAGTCTTCCCATTCTAATACAACATACAACAAATGTTTTTGTATGTTGCAACTAATTACCTTTGAGATTTTATAAAAAAAATAAATAAAAAAAACTAAGTGATTTTCTTTGACACATTGAAGTTTAGTTTAACACAGAGGTGTTATTTCTGCTGTTGCTTGTTTGTTATTGACTGTAATATACCCATTTCATTTTCTTAATATGGAAACTCACACATTTTCACCAGCATATTATCAAGATAGCAGTTTGGTGGAGACAACATAACTTGAATTCATGACATCTAAAATATTAGCCAGCCTGGGAAATTGACATCACATGCAAACACAGCTGGTTGTTAAAGCAGTAACAAAATATCTTTTACAGAAGACAACAGAACATGTATCCATTAAAAGAAGAACTGAATACAGATCCATAAACACTCACAGATCCATAAAGTTTTCCTCTTCGGTTCATGGCCACAAAGAGCCCACTGTGAACACCCAGCAGAGTAACCACCCCTCTCTCCACGGGAGAGATCTGTAGCAGACCTTCAGAAACATAAAGAATGCATGTTGAAACCGACCGTCAAGGAAAAAAATGTCTTCTCACAATTCTAGCTTTCTATCTGTCAGCAAATGGAGTTATCACACTTTGCTTTTCAAGTTAACAAAACATTTGGGCATTATTCAGCTCCAAAATCAGTCCAACATTTTACACAAAAGCTCAACTGTTCATTTTTTTGATAGTAATTTAAAACTATGAAGTGTCTAAAATTTAAGTTTGGAAACCCTTAAGCAAAGTGTCATTTACCAGTTTTTTTGCTTTATTTTTTTTGGCATGAAATTGGTCTGAAAGTTTCCTTTTAATGCTTTGGTACAAAAATGTCAAGACTGCCTTGTAAACTAAACCAGAGGAGACCTGGTCATTCTTTGCAGAAGGTGTATGAATTGTACAGAAACAAATGTGAGGCTTAACATGTAAGAATGTTCTGCTTTGGCCTCAGGCTGCATGGAGCGGTTTCTGAGCTTTTGTATCAGGTGCTTTTCTGAGATTTTATGTCTTGGCTTTAAATAGAACAAAGCTGTAAGAATAACCTGACAGCTCCACGCTTGTCTTTTTAACATTTTGGATCCACAAGTTATAGCAGCAATGAAAAAATATAAGTGTTCATTAGTTACACAGCAGGTCCCCAGTCCAAAAACGCATAATATAAAGTGGTGCATAAGTATGCCTGCGCTGGAGCGCGGGGGTTAATCTGTCTTCACAGCCAGGCCTGACCTAACTTTAGGGTTCTTGCTGGCTCCAGGCCCGGATTACAGCAAGCTCTGGTTACACGTCAGGCGCAAAAGCTTGCGCATATTTGTGCTGATTTGAGGAACCGAAGAGGGACTCCAGATGTTTTGAAGCGGTCGCCTCTTGGGGATCTAGAGGCCTGGATCAGGTGGAAAGAGCTAAGGTGTTGATAAGGATTCAAACCTGGGTAAGACGGATGAGTTACGGTGAGTTAGTTCCTATAGTTTACATTTACATCCCTAAGGCGACTGAAAATATTTTTCAATTATTTAGTAACAGCTCGACTTCTCTATGGACTTTGGTTAAAAAGCTACGATACAGGTGTATCGTATGGATCCCTGATGGATCAATTCGGGTCAATAAATAATAATAATTAAAGCCACTTACTGTAACGATTCTCGCTGTGCACTCCTGTTATTCTGCCGTCGGGTAACACTTGAATATGAAAACCAATCCCCACGTTGCAGTAGAGGCGCCGCAACCGTTTAATGCCTAGGAGGTAGTCTCCGTCCCGACTGATCTCCTCCCGCTTTTCCCCCGGGATACGTGCCAGAGAGCGGGAGTAGAGGGCCTCCCAGCGCTCCGCTGTCCCGTTCAAACCGGGGGCGCATCCCGCGAGGGCCGTAACCAGGTTCAAAACTAGGACGGTCCTCAGGGCCGACAAAGAACCCATGCCAAGTTTGACTCAGAAAGCAGAATCCGGCGTGCGCTCTCCCAGTGAGATGACAGTACAACACAGGCGAAGCAGCGGCGCGACACAGATAAGTGTGTAAAAGTTGCGCTCATTCCCAGACCTACAGGCGCACTGACTTCAGCGCCGGGGCGACATTGATCTGCATGGACGCTGAGCAGCCATGCCTCTATATTTATACCTGCAGACACATTACATCACAGCTCGACACTTAAAAGAAAACTACAAACTAAAACACTCACTTTACCAAACAGAACAGGCCGCTTTGTTGTGACCAAATAATAGAGAACTTATCTCGGGGAAAAGTTAAGACATTTTGGAAAATATACTAATAAAGGCTTTATTATAATAGAAAACAAGTCTTTGTGCGAGACGTTCATTATCAGTAACAAAATATCCTAATTTATGTATTGAAGGATGTAAAATAGGAAACAGCCAAGTTAACAGACCGTGTTGCCGAGACAGGAGACAGATCTATAAATGAACAATAACAGGAAAAAACACAGGTCCAATTCAGCTAAATGAAAAAAGCAGCACTTAAGACTGGTGGAGGGGAAATCATGCCCCAAGCCCTTTCACTGAACAATGGTTAGACTAAATACAGCCTGTTAAGCATGTTAAGTACTGTCACTGTCACCAAGCCTTATTTCATCCCTCAGCTGTGTATTAATAGGATTCATTTATTATTTTAAAATTAATTTTGGTAATATAAGTAAATGAATATCAGTCCAAGAGACTCTTTTGTTCTGCAGATTCTACTCTACATCTGTGTGTGTGTGTGTGTGTGTGTGCGCGTGAGTGTGTGTGTATGTGCGTGTGTGTGTGTTTCTTTTTCCTTTTTTTGTGGTGATTCATAATGCAAGTCAGTTTTTTCTATAAATGTTAAATTTATGATTTTCTACAACTCAGACAAAACAATTTCAGGCCCCCCTAAGCTTACTCCACCTCGCAAACACAACACACACACACACACACACACACACACACACACACACACACACATGTTTGTGTTGCTATCTTTGTGGGGACTTTCCATTGACTTCCATTCATTTCTACAGCCTAAACCTTACCTTTACCCTTTTCCTAACCCTAACCATCACATACCTAGCCCTACCCCTATCCAAAACTCAATTCATACCTTAACCCTAACTCTGACCCCTGACCCAAAAACAGGGTTTCCCCTTGTGGGGACCAGGCTCCGGCGATTGGTCCCCACAACGTAGTATATGTCAGGAAAATCGTCCCCACAAGGTATTACAAACACACACAAACACACACACACGCACACACACCCACACACACTCACACACACACACACACACCCAAACAACTGAATATTGATCATCCCCAGTTCTGGGACTAATTATTTTACAGCATTGACCTTAATATTTCATCTTCAAAAGTCTTTCTTATGAAATTTTTGTGTTGCTGTCTCTTTTTCATTTATTTTACAGTCTGATTTAAGCCAGTAGAGCCACCAGCTCTATATATAGTCATATCCAATAAATTAAAATATTATTGACAGGTTAATTGTAATTTGATTCACCTCAGAGACACGTAAAAAAAATAAGAAGTCAGCCTTCTAAAGAACATTTTTAGGATTAGAGAACTAATGTCCCAACAAGATGTAGAGAAACTCATTGTTTATCTTTGGTTGCATTGATTACTGCAGCAGCGTCTGCTAACGAATCAGACAGGTGCAACTGATCCAGAACGCTGCTGATTTCAGCCATGACATCTGAGAGCTTGCATGTTTGTTGCTTGCTTGTTGTTTTCATCATGTAAAGCAAGTTGATCTGCCTTGTTCTGAGGATACCATACAAACAACCTTACCTTGCCTAAAGTGAAACACATTAGAATAATTCCCCACAGATGGATTGTTTCGAGTCTTAATTTATGGTAATTATTAAGATTTTTTTTGCTTACATATTGCTAAAACATGACATTTAACATTGAAAAGTTATGCGAGACCAACATTCTTTTTTTTACATGTGGGCTTATGAAAATATGCTTAATATCTGCTTAAAAATCTTTATTTTCAAAAGGTTATTTTATTCTTATAAACAGGGCTAATCAGAATACATATTCTATTTTACTGACTATGACTGAGGAGCGGGTACGCTGGATTTTCTGAATGTCTGATCTTTGCTCAGGCTCTGTCTTTCTCCTCAGTGACCATGCATGAACTGTTTTCTCTTATTCACATTTGACTGCTCTGAAAGGTATGACTGCATTGCTCCTTTGCAGGCTACAAAACTGCATGAACACAAATGTTTGAGGTTGTCATGAGGTGCCTCAGCATGGGTTATGTTGGCCTAGAAATACCAGTAAACCAACCAGGAAGCCAGTGCAGAGGACCAAAAGAAAACAGGCTAAAGTGAGGCCCAGTTTTTCAGGGCCTGAAGAGCTGGAACCAGGTAAAGGGGTGAAAAGTGATGAGGATTCTAGGGGCCCTGACCAGCAGGGGGCCCTCCACAATTTAATTATTCAGATTTTGTTCATAGACATAAAATTAAAAAAATCGGGGTCCTGTCAAATACAAAATTAATCATATTGTATTTTCAAAGATTGTTTTTAGCAACAAAAGTTTAATGTTACCCCTCCCTGACCAAAAAACACACATCCATATTTGCCCTGAACCCCCTGCCCCACCTCTATCTGCATGAAATGGTTCGTTCCTGCTTGGAGCAGTGACACATGCAGTCAGTAGAAGCTGCAGCTGAATACAGCGGC